AAAGGGGAAGGAAGAGAGGAAGGAAAGGAATGGAAGAGAGGAAGGAAGGGGGAAAGGAGATAGGAACAAAGGGGGAAAGGAAGAGAGGAAGGAAAGGGGAAGAGAGGAACAAAGGGAAGGAAGCAGAGGTGGTATTTAGCAGGTTCTGACCAGTTCTGGAGAACCGGTAGCGGAAATTTTGAGTAGTTTGGAGAACCGGCCAATGCCACCTCTGACTGGAGATTTTACAGTATCTTTCCCCTGCCACGCCCATTCAAGCCACGCCCACAGAACCGGTAGTCAACAATTTTGAATCCCACCACTGCATACGACTCAGAAAAACCCCAAATACTCTCTACCTGTTTGGGAGTGTGGAGCAAGTCTTGAGCTATGGTGGTAGCCATGAAAGCTTGAGGACTAGCTATGCTGGGCTGAAGGACAAGGGACAACCCAGCTACGAGTTGGACTCCCATATCGGTGATGGTCACTTTGTCATCCAACACCGTCACGGTCTTCTCGGCCAAGATGGAGTCAGATAGTGGAGAAAGGACCTTTGGAAGTCAACAGAGAGATCTTCTTAAGAGCATATCAAAGTTACACTGTCCCTTTTTCTCAACTATCTTTATAGAATGGAATATCAAGGCAGGAATGTTCTCGTACCAATGTGATAGACTGACCTGGACCATTGTCATGCCAACTTCTTGCCCAACCAGAACCTTGCCTCCTTGTAACTGGGCCACGTAAGGTTTCTCAAGCTTCATGAAGTCCGTCACCAAATCTGTTATGTCAATCTGCCAGTCGGAGCCCAACAAGTAGGACAGCTGCCCTGATGGGCTGGCATCTTCTGCCACAAACTGGGTGAGGACACGCACCATGGCATGCTGGTACTGGAGGGTGCAGCCTCTTCCCTTATGGTCATCTACATCTTCATCATCACTGTCTCGCGTCAATCTGAAAAATTAGCATTTAGAGATTGTACTTCATGCTCAATGAGTTGAATATGTACACCACACTTCAAAAATGCCATGGCTTCTTCTACAAAGAAGATGTAGAGGAATAGGCCATATGTTATCCTCTCCCCAATAATTATATAAACTAAGAAGAGAGAGAAAGAAAGAAAGAAAGAAAGAAAGAAAGAAAGAAAGAGAGAGAGAGAGAGAGAGAGAGAGAGAGAGAGAGAGAGAGAGAGAGAGAGAGATGATAGATGGATGGATGGATGGATAGATGGATAGATAGATGGATGAATGGATGGATGGATGAATGGATGGATAATAGATGATAGACAGGTAGGTGATAGATAGATAGATAGATAGATAGATAGATAGATAGATAGATAGATAGATAGATAGATAGATAGATAGATAGATAGATAGATAATGGATGGATAATAGGTGATAGGTAGATGATAGCTACATAGCTAGATGGACAGATAGATATAGACAGACAGACAGATATACAGATAGATAGAAGATAGGGATATCAAGATAGATGATGGAGATAGGTAGGTAGATAGATGATAGATAGATGATAGAGATTTGATAGAGATAGAAAAGAGAAACATCTTTCAGAAAGTCCCATGACTGAATGGCAGCTTCATGCTGATTTTCCCTGAATCCAATCCAACTCTAACCATTGCACCATGTCCCCTGGAATTTGAGAAAAACTGAGGTGGAATATTTTTCTTTCTAGGCCACCTTTATCCGAACTCATCCTCTCTATCTACTGAAAGAGGGGAAAGAAGCAGGACACTGGACTGAAAAAGGAAGCTCAACAGAGACAGAAAGACACGGAGTCCGTTGGACTTAGACCAAGGCCACAAATCTTGAGTCAATCAACAAAACTCACCTCTGGCTGGAAACAATGGGGACTCTCCAACCTTTGATCTGGTTCAGCTCCGTGTCGGACACGTCAATCTGAAGCGGCAGGCGTGGGACCCAAACCGTAAGCCGCAAGGGGGCACTAAGATACTGGTACGTGAAGTTCACTACGACATTCACCTTTCCTTTCATCTCTTTGCCATTGACAAAAACATAGTCACATCGGTCAGACACCTAGGAGAAGTACAAAAACAGGAGGAGGTCAAGACGGAATCAGGGGATGTCACTGAGCGGGTGATTGTCATTGGATTGGCAGCCTTTGGAGGAGACGAATGTTGGCTTGATCCTAGGCAGCGTCGTAGGAAGAAATGTGAGCTGCAACGTAGGAGGTGTGGGAGGGTCAGAGTGTGAGCTGAGTCATTGAGACACACCCCACAGGGGATAAAAGTGGGTGTGCTTTCTCCGGAAACTTTGTACGGGACAAAGTTTGCTTCACTTCCAGATTTCGTTGTGACTGTTTTTTGTGGTCTGCTTTGGAATCTTCAGTGAGTAGTTTTTTTCTTGTTATCATTTCGGATTTGGCAGGCAGAGTGTGTTGGAATGCCAAGGACATTATCAGTATAAAGGATTAACTCTGTAAAGACCGAGTCATCTTGACTGCCCGTGTTTGTGTGGGTTTGTATTCTTTCATCTTTTTTGGAAAAAAGAAAGGTGAGACATAACATGACACAATGTGCATGATTGCAAAGTTTTCGGCAACATTTATGACACTTTTAAGAACTGCTTTGATGACAGTGTTATCACAGAACCTCTTTGGAAACCATTTCTATCTCTCCCTCCCTTTCTCCCCCCCTCTATGTGTGTGCGTGCGTGTGTGTGTCATATATATATATACATATATTATATATATATAATTATATATATATAATGTATCTATCATCCACAGTATCTATCCATCCATCATCTACTGTATCCAGCTATCTATATCTATATCATTATCATTCTATTATCTTTCATTTACTTATCTATCAATCATCTATCAACTGCCTGTCTATCCTCCATCATCATCTATCTATCTATCTCTATCTGTCTTTATCTCTATCTATCATCTCTGTTTAATGTATCTACTATCACTTTATTTTGTTTCTTTCAATTTTTATCTGTCATCAAGGATCTATTATGTCTGTCTGTCTGTCTGTCTGTCTGTCTGTCTGTCTGTCTCTATCTATCTATCTATCTATCTATCTATCTATCTATCTACATATCTATCTATCATCTATCTATCTATCTATCTATCTATCTATCTATCTATCTATCTATCTATCTATCATCTATCTATCATCCCTGTATCATCTCTCTGTATCTCTCTATCCTCTCTCTTTCCACCCATCTATCCATTATCTATCTCTACCAGCCAGCTTGTCCCCAGCCATGTTAACAGAAGAGGAAACTCAGTGGTCTGTAAAATCCAACACTGATTAAAGAAGCGATTACGGGTCTCTCTCTGAAATTGGCTATGCTAATGTATGCTTCTATTCTGGGACAATATTTACATGCTAAATAATAAATCCAGTTCAAGGCTGGCAGTGAGAAGACGGGAGGCTGCCCTTAAGTTGAATGAAAAGAAAAATTCAGCAGCATAAAACCAACCATAAAAAAAGAGATAATGGTCTGTCGCAGAAAGCATGATTTTTTTGGCTGGGTGTTCTATTCTTTGTACGGAAACGTCCTGGGGATTTGTAACGTCTAAAGGGAGAAGAAAAAATAGTTGGGCTGCTTTGGGTAACAATAACAAGGATGACTACTAATCACTGCTTGGCGATGAAATAGGCTGATACATGATTCTTGGGAAGAACTTGATATGAATGAAGGCCAACATTTGCTAAAGAACTGGCAGTTGGATTTGGAGTCATAAAATTGCAAAACCTCTGGAGCATCCCTTGACAATCATTGGCATTGACAAAATCCCCATAAGTCAATTGCAAAAGGCAGCCTGACTTACTTCTTGCAACAACATCTTTAACACCGTCAAATAACAACATCTGCACATGGGAGGGATTTGATAGGTGGACAGAAATGCCAAATCTAGCCTAAACATCTGGCTGATTGTGCAAGCAACCATGATAATAACATTCTGGTGTCCCAAAGCTGATTTTTCAAAGACAACTGGACTTTTTATTTTCCCTGAAAGACGTTTTGCTTCACATCCAAGAAGCTTCTTCGGTTGTGACTGAACGGTGGAGGAGATTTATCTGTCCAAGTGGCCTCAACAACTCTCAGAAAGAGCACTAATGACCAGATGACTGCAAGGAATATAAATCCTTCCATCTTCCACCATTCCCTCAGAACCGAAGAAGCTTCTTGGATGAGAAGTTAAACGTCTTCAAGGAAAAACAAAGTCCAGTTGTTTTTTGAGGGAGAAAAAAAAGCACGGTATTTGGGAATACCATGACCAGAATGACTGAGAATCTCCATAGACATTTAGAATTCTGGAAAGTTGATTTTGGGCAAGTTTGTATAAATTGAGATGGAATAAACTTCTCTTACACTGCTAAACCAAGTTGACAGGAGGTATTAATCAAATATGAAGTGCAAGGAACAAAGGATTAAAATGGGCTGGTTCTTAACTATTCACCTTTTCTCATAATTTAGCACTCATTGGCAAGGTGGGAATAAGCCCCAAAAGGATGTTGTAAGTCTGATAATTCAGTTCCTTTTCACTGTAGCAACTAACACCTCCTAGTAAAATAAAGGTAACAGTTCCCCTCACAAATACGTGCTAGTCGTTTCCGGCTCTAGGAGGCAGTGTTCATTTCCGTTACAAAGCTGAAGAGCCAGCGCTGTCCGAAGACGTCTCTGAGGTCATGTGGCCGGCATGACTCGACGGCGAAGGTGCATGGAGGAACGCTGTTACCTTCCCACCAAAGTGGTCCCTATTTTGCTACTTGCATTTTTTACATGCTTTCGAAGTGCTAGGTTGGCAGAAGCTGGGACAAGTAACGGGAGTTCACTCTGTTATGCGGTACTAGGGATTCAAACCGCTGAACTGCTGACCTTTCTGATCAACGAGCTCAGCGTCTTAGCCACTGAGCCACCGCATCCCTAACACCTCCTAGTGATTCTGTGGTTTCTTCTCCAAACCCCAAAAACTTTAACCTTAGACTGTCTACTATTGACATCACCCCTTTCCTAAGAGGTCTGTAGGGGGCGTGCATAAGCGCACCAACATGCCTACCGTCCCTGTCCTATTGTTTCTTTTTATTTTTCTTATATGTATCCATTTCATGTATTCATAACTATGTTTATACTTATACCTGTTATCTTATAATCGCTTGACAAAATAAATAAAATAAATAAAAATAAATAAATAGTATGTGTGCTTAATTAAACAATATCCTCTCTATAAATCTTCAGGTTGTAAGAATGCAATAAGAGATTTTACTTTGGGGAAAACAAGGGGAGAATCAGCCTTGGTCCATTAACTCATGAAAGCTTCCTGCTACCCTGGATATATGGAGTAAAATATTGCTCCCAGACATCAGATCCAACATCTGTCGCTTCTCTAGCAATCAGCTTTCATCGCAAGTAAAAGGGACAGAATACAAATAAAGGTGGAATAAAGAAAATTAAGGTCAAAGTAAGTCTTTTGTCATGGCCAATTCACACTGTCAACTCGCCTTTCAGAAGATGGTGATGTTTTGGGGGCCCCGTGCCTTTGTAACACAGTTAGAAAAAAGGAGTGAGAAAGAAAGTTCAAAGTAGTTAAGAGATCTCACAGGAGATCTCATGGGGTTTGGAAGCATTGCAGGAAATTGCCTGGAACTCACACCGGTCCTGCATTCTTGCCTGGAATCACGCAAGATCTCATGCGTTAACACAGACATTTGACAAGATTTTTGGGAACATGGAACATTTGGAAGAGGTTGAGTAATCTGATAAGCATTGGGGATTATGGGATGTTTGCCTACTGGAAAAATCTCATAAGAGTTGAGGATTATGGGACATTTACTCACGGAGAAATCTAATAAGAGTCAGGGATCACAGGATGTTTTCCTACTGGGAAATCTCATAATTGGTTGAAGATCGTGGGATATTTGCCCATTGAAAAATCTCATAAGAGTTGGGGATCATGGGATATTTGATTGACTTCTAATACAATGGAAAGCAGGATGGATGCAGCTTGCTATGGATCTTCAACATAAGCAGGAATTTCACCCGAAACCTCTACAATCCTTTTTAAAAATTTATTTATTTTCAAAATACATATAAAAATTTACATTTTAAACGTTCTGTATCAAGTGTTACTTATATTCTTAAATACAATATTTACAGTTCTTCTCCATATCAAACCTTGTTTCTCTTATCTAACCATTTCTCTTATCTAACATTTCCCAAATCTCATAGAACTCTGACTCTTCTTTCCCTTTTAGTTGTCTCATCAGTCTGTCCATCTCAGCACAATCAAGTATTTTATTTATTATCATATTTTCTGAAGGTACATCATCTATTTTCCAGCTTTGGGCATAGGCAATTCTTGCCGCTGTTAATATATATGTTGTACGATGTATTGGATATGTTTCTTTGGGTTTCCTTTAATCATCCCCAGCAAAAAAGCTTCTGGCTTAAATTAAATATCATACCCTGTAATTTCTCTTACCCATTTTTTCCATTTTTAAACCTCTACAATCCTAGTCAACATTCAAAACATCTATGCACATCAAGTCCTTGAACTTTCAAGTTTAGCAACTCCTGAACCTGGAGGTCAGGTGGAAACCTACCAAAGATATGCACATATTTTATCTCAGCATCGATGTTAGAGGAGATACTAAAAAGTGTGGAATGTTACTAACTTCCTCAGGTTTATTAGCAGTCTTTAGCCTTTAATGAGGCCTGCAGGAAAAAGAGAGAGAAAGAGAGATCTTTGTCCTTAAAATCCTAACATGGTCCTGATCCTCTAAGTTGATTTACCTAGATGTATCTGTGGGGTCCTTGGTGCTCTCTGGGCTTGATTGTTTTCTTGGAGACATTTCATTATCCAAACTAGATAACATTATCAATGCTAGAAGGGAGTGAGGTTTGCAAGAAGGAGGAAGAGGAGGAGGAGGAAGAGGGGGAGAAGGAGGAGGAGGAAGAGGGAGAGAAGGAGGAAGAAGAGAAAGAGGGGGAGAAGGAGGAGGAGGAGGAAAGTAGGATTGTAGGTGCTCTCTGAGTTTGGTGGTTTCTTGAAGATGTTT